TAGCCATCTTTCTATCCATCTTACCGTCCATTTACCCAATCCACATTCCCTTAACTTGCTGGCAAGAATATTGTGGGAGACCGTATCAAAAGCCTTGCTAAAGTCAAGGTATATAACATCCACTGACTTTCCCATGTCCACAGAGCCAGTTACCTCATCATAGAAGCTAATCAGTTTGGTCAGACACGACTTGCCCTTTGTGAATCCATGCTGACTATTCCTGAGCACATTTCTCTCATCCAAGTGCCTCAAAATGGATTCCTTAAGGATCCCTTCCATGATTTTTCCAGGAACTGAAGTAAGACTGACCGGCCTATAGTTCCCTGGATCATCCTTTTTCCCTTTTTAGAAGATGGGCACTACATTTGCCTTTTTCCTATCATCCGGGATTTCTCCTTATCTCCACGACTTTTCAAAGATAATAGCCAAAGGCTCCTCAATGACATTTGCCAACTCCCTCAGTACCCTCGGATGCATTAAGTCCGGACCCATGAATTCGTGTACATTTAGCTTTTCTAAATAATTCTTAACCTCTTCTTTACCCACCAAGGGCTGTCCATCTTCATCCCATCTTATGTCACTTAGCGCGCAAGTCCAGGAGCAGACCTTGTCCGTGAATACAGAGGCAAAGAAAGCATTGAGTACTTGAGCTTTCCGCACATCATCTGTCACTAGGTTACCTCCTTCATCCATTAGGGGCCCCACACCCTCTCTGATCATCTTCTTCTTGTTAAAATGCCTGTAGAAACCTTTCTTGTTATTCTTCACATCCTTAGCCAGTCGCAATTCCATTTGCGCTTTTGCCTTCCTGATAACACCCCAGCATTCTCAAACTATACATTTAAACTCCTCCCTGGTCATTTGTCCAAGTTTCCACTTTTTGTAAGCTTCCTTTTTGTGCTTAAGTTCACCAAGGATTTCCCCTGTAAGCCAATCCGGTCTCCTACCATGTTTGCCTCTCTTGCTACGCGTCGGGATGGTTTCTTTCTGTGCCTTCAATAAGGCTTCTTTAAAATACTGCCAGCTGTCCTGGACTCCTTTCCCCTTCATGTTAGCATCCCAGGGGATTCTGCCCATCAGATATCTGAGGGAGTCAAAATCTGCTTTAGAAGTCCAAGGTGTGTATTTTACTACTCTCTTTTCTTCTTTTAGTCAGGATCCTGAAATCTACCATCTTATGATCACTGCTTCCCAGGTTGTCACGTACCTATACTTCCCCTATTAGTTCCTCCCTGTTTGTGAGCAGAAGGTCAAACTGTGCATGGCCCCTGGTCGGATCCTTCAGCACTTGTGTCAAGAA